TGTACCTATATCACTTTTTAGAGACCGATCCGATATTAAATTGATATAGGCATCTAATTTTATACTATGTAAAGATACCAATGGTTTTAATTTTTAATATACTTTTTATTAGTAAAACATCTATAATTTAACTATACCATAACTTATGTTATTTAAATATATTATAATGATCAGTTATAGTTTGTATTCAATTCAATTGCAATTCTAAAAGTATATAAAATATTTTTATTGTTAAATCACTTTTATATAATAAATAATAACATTAATCTATATACATAATAAGTAATAAACAAATATATTATGAAATTTGAAATAAATATTTAAATTATTTAACATTAATATATCAAAGATTTCTTTTTTAAATTACCAAAATTTCCAATTTATCAGAGGTCAGCCTGAGGCGATGGTAACTGTCAATCACCAGCTTCACTAAAAACAGATTCTGAAGAGATTATCGCACACTTTTATAAACAAAATGCGTAAAAAATAACAATATGGCAGAAGTTTATTAATTAATTATTATTATTAAAAAAATATACATAATTTTGATTTATTTATAAAAATAAATGATATTATAGAATTTATTTTAAAAATTTTTACATTTTATTTTTGTTAAAGACGCCATTTTATATTCGATCGGAAAATTTTATAATATTGGCCGATAACCGATATTTTAAAATATGAATATCGGCCCGATCCGATAAAAAATATCGGTACACCCCTAATATATATTATTCATTATCTTTATCATGATAATTTCCTGAATTTAAAATTTCTGTACATCAAGCGCTATATTGAAAATAGTTTATTGTTAGAGTTTAATAAATATTAATTAAAGCCAATTTTTTTGAAAAATAAATATTATATCATTTTATTTATATATTTTTTACAAATTAATATAGCTTTGTATTTTTTTTGTAAATTAATAGGGGAGACCAGGGTAAAACGTTTGGTATTTTGCAATTTTGCTATAGTTTTGAAACAAAACAACAAATAGATTTATATGTCGCCAAATCCCTCATCTGCAAATTAAAAAAAGTATAGCTCTCCTCCTATAATTAGGTTATAATATACTCCTACCAATCTTCTGGGTGTCGAGATCTTCAATCGGATTTCTTAGATTGGGTATTATATATACCGCCGATTTTACTTCTGAAATTTATGATATCACTTAAAATATTTTAATGTTCATCACTTTATAAAACGACTAATTTTTGTATTAGTTCATATGCTTCAAACTCAAGTAACAAGTAAGATGATCCCCTTATATTGGAAATCCAATAAATAATCAGCAGTGCAGTTTGAGCACATGAATTTGTAGCCAAATGTTGAATAGTTTAAAATGTTAAAATTTTTGTCCAAAATATCATTTAATATATTATTGGTAATTTCTCTATGACAAATATCCAACTTCTTCAACAGCTGCTTTCAGAGCTTTCTTGCATATATGTATTTGCTCATTATATTTTATTGATGATGCACATCTTGTTTGGATAATTGTATATAATGTAATATAAATTGGCAGTAATTTTCTCAAACTGCATAAGTAAAATTATAATTATTCATATATTAGATCCAATCAAATTAATAATGAGAAAAATTCTTTTTTTTTATATTTCAAATTGAAATTCTAATATTTTATTGAAAATTTTATATTTTTATATAAAATTATAATTAAATCGATGCCTTAATGATACAAATATATTTTAAAATAATTTGTAAATAAATTAGATTGATAAATATACTTTAAATATAAATTAGTTAATTAGATCAATATGTTATTTACCAATAACATTTTAGAGTATTTGACCGGTCAAATACTCCTTCTGTCAATTGACCTAATTTGACCGACTTGCCAACCCTGGTGCTATTTTACCTCGTACCCAGGGTAAAATGGATAAGCAATGGTTAAATAAAATTGAACAGAACTTTATTATCTTGTTGAACAAAATATTGCAATTTTGATACCTTTTCATCTCTCTTAAGTAGTGATGTTAATCGGCTCGTTTTGAGCCGATTTTTAAAAACGTCTAACTCAATACTTCATCCAAAAAAATATTACACAAGCCTGAAGATTTTGCTCATAGAAGGAACAAAGGTCTATACATATATTATCGAAATCTTGAGGCTTAGGCAATATTATTCTGGCTAAAATATTGAGTTAGCCGTTTTTAAAAATCGGCCCAAAACGAGCCGTTTAACAACACTACTCTTAAGTATAAACTAATCAACAAAATACGGGAATGTAGAATTTTTATCAAAAATAGCACATATTTAGTATGCTCAACTAGGTGCATCGTATATTTGAATTATTCTACCCCTTTGCGACTAATTTTATTTACACATAAATTATTTATTAATATTCTTTTTGTTCTTTTTATTTGGTGTAGACTTTAATATTCAAAAATTATCTACTTCATAAGAACAATCAAAGGTGATATATTATACAAATCTGATATTGGACATTTAAAATCTTTCAAAGTTGGATTTATAGTATTTTTGAAATCTGCACAAAGTCTAAGTGAGCCATCACTCCTAAAAAGAGGTTTGAGTGGACTTGCCCAGCGAATATCTTGAACTTGTTTTTGATTTTGTATTTGTTCATCACTTCTTCCCCCTCCTCTAGAAACTTTTGTACTCGGTGTAGATTTTTAACGTTATTATCACAATTTATTTCTTTCACATCTGTTTCAATATTTTTAATTGAAATAATTTTCTTTGATCTCTTTTTTGTCTGGTCTAAATATCTTCCTATAATGTTATTTCTAGTATTTATTTTGTATGATAAGTTCCCATCTTTATGTGTTACGATTAAATTTTATTCACCTATTTCGATATTTTAATTTGCTGATACTATTTAAGCTATAAACTTATAAATTTTATTTTATAGCTATGACTTTAAGTAACATATATGCAAAATTTTAATTTACGAGCCTTAATATATTTTGCTAAAAGCTTAGAGGGTGGTTTTAAAATTTTAGTGGTAAAAACGGTTTTTTAGAAAAATATATCAAACCAGGAAAGTATTTCAAAAGATGAACATAGGTAATAAATTAGATATAAAAATACATCTTCACACAAAATTTACAGTTTTTATGCTCAAGGGCTAAAAAGTAATTTGCAGTAACCTTGTTACCCCGGTCTCCCCTAACCTTGAATACTATTTATAAATATCAAAATTATTATGTATAATTAAAAAATTATATAAAATATGAGTTATATAAATAATTTATATATATCTGTAGTGATTAGTTACTTTTGAAATATAACTGTAACTAGTTACCGAATTAATAATTTAATTTATGACAAATTATTTTCAGTAACCTTTAACACCACTATTAATTAGTATATAATATATTTTTAGCTTCATTGATTTAAATATATATTTTGAGTTGCGGAAATCTTGTTTAATCAAGTTCAAATCTATCCAGCAATATCAATTTCACTTGATTTTTAGATTATTTTAAAATTATACCTAAAACGAATAATTCGAATCGAATACTAATAAGGTAAATATATTACTCGTCAAATAATTTTTTATCTTTTATTCTATCGAATTATTCGCATCATTTGATTTTTCTAAATTTATCCTATATATTCAACATTATTCGTAAATATTCGATATTCATAAACATTAAAACTTTTCATAAATATTTAAGATAGATTTTTAAATTTTACTTAAAATTCTAAATATATTTAGTAAATAATCTTTATAATTTTGAACAAGAAATCTTTCAAGATGAAATTACAAATTAAAAAAAATATTCAAAATTCATTCATAAAAATTTTAAGATTCTTTCATATTTTTATTTTTTCATTTTTGAAAATTTTTAAAGAATTTAATCTTCAAATACATACTAATAATGCAAATGTTCGATTCGATTCATATTTTTGTAGGTATAACTGCAATTCAATCGTCAGTCACAACTAGAAAGCATATGTTTCAATTTCAATACCTAATGGATTCCTCATCAAATCTTTTCTCTTAAAATGAATTGAATGTTAGAATTCTAAACAATTAATATTTTCTCCCTAAGTATGCTTTGATTCTAGGCAATAAAACAGAATAGGCTGCAGGAAATAACCAAAAGTTAAATCAAACATCTAGATACTGAATCTACCCAGCATCTCTCTGTTTAAATAAGGGAGCTAATACTAATTACGATACCTAATTTATGAATTGGTTTAACAGCAACATCAAGCAAACTATCTAGGTAAATTAAGAAAACACCTTCAATCTTCACCTATAGCATCAAATGGATGAAAATTCAATATTGTCATTAATTTTTTAACGGAACTCGATATTTAAAAAATTTAACGAGCACTTGTCCCTTGGGCAATTTGTAACCCTCCACAGTAAAAACAGTTTAGGAATTTCAGGATAAAAATATAGTTTATCAGTCGATCATATTTGTAACTTTATGGAAACCCGCTTGATCGGAAAACCATCTCCACTTGGGATGCTGTGTGCTCTTGAAATCTTCGATAAATTTGATTGATCATAGATTTGCGGCAGATAAAAAGTCGTAAATCCAACAAAATGGAAACTTTTATAACATAATAAATTTAAACATTTTTAGAGAAAGACAACTTATTTTCCCAACTTTTTTTATTAAACTGGTTGTTAAAATTTTGACAGCCCAGCGCTGTATGTGAATAAGTGATATTTGTCCATGCAATAATTTTAAATGGCATCATTCTCAATGTCTTGAAGAGATAAATTTATATATATTAGCCTAAAAATCGAATTTATTATAGTTATTTTTTTTATCTATAAAACAAGTGAGCAAAAAGAGGTTAACAAAATATTACACCGTGTCAAATGACGTGATTTGTTTCAAAATTCAAATCATATAAGACTCATCAGGATAAAAAAAAATCGCTGATATTCGCTTTATTTTAAATATTTTACTTTTTCTAAATACTATATATTTTAAATAATTTTTTTTATAGTTTTCAAAATCTAATATTACATTTTGCATTATATTACAAAAATTTAGGAAAAATTTTTCGAAAACTTTGAAAAAGGATGGGAGAAGAAGAGGGATGAAATACTCAAAACACTAAATCGATATTATAAAAAATAACTATTGTAAATTTTTTTTTTAAAATTGTTATTTAGCGATTACTATAACTTTAATTAAAAGAAAATTGTATATAGTATAATAAATGTATTTATACTTTTATATTTATATAATTCCAAAATAATCTATGACGAATATGCATTATGCATTATAATAATCAATGTAAAATTAGATTTATAATAGTAAAAATATAATATATGTTTTTTTAAAAATGAGTATATAAATGTTTGAATGTTGCATTGTAAATGTAGTTATTATTATATATATAATTTTATTATATTACAGGAATTATACACAACATTATAACTTTAGTTTATAATAATTTTTGGTAGAATTTTATAATTTGCTTTAAAAATGTAGATTCTTATATAGATGTAAAAAAAAATTATTTTAAGTTTTACTATTTTGTAAATAATAGAGAATTTTTTGTGAAACAATAAGCATGTAAATTTAGCATAAGAGAGGGATAATAAAACTACGCACCATTGACTATACTATGAAAATATATAATAAATAATATATAAAAATGTATGACTAAAAATTTGAAGTCTTGATGATAATTAAATAAATATTCTATACTTTATATTTTTACATAAAATGCGCTAAATTATATCTTTAAATTTTATAAAATTTTAATTTTAAGATTATGAACCTGCATATAATAATTATGTGGATAGTGAAGATTTGTAAATATATTTTTTCTACACTGTATTTAGAAAATTTTACAAAAACTATTGATAAGTCACCTTCCATTGTATAATAGTGGTATCTTTGCCACCAGTCGATATTAAAAAATCGTCCGAACGAGAAAAGGTTATATTAGTAACATGACTCGTGTGTCCAGAATAGATCATGGGTTTGTTTATCTTTAAAAAGGTTTTCCAAGCATTATAAAAGGTTTTAATTTGCTAAAGTTAATTTTTATGATCGAGTATCTTGATTAAAATATATTAGGTATCTATTTGTTCAAATGATTATGTTCCTTAGTCAATCACTAAAAAACGAACATTAATTTAAAGGCTACCATTAAACTAGGAGTTATATCATTCCACTTTGCCGATATCCATTTTTCATAAAAATGCCAATTTATTTTTAATGAGCAGTCGTAATTTATATTTTCGTTTACATTATAAATCGAATTTCGCAAATTTTTTTTTAAAGTTAAAAAAAATTAACGACGCTTTCTTATTTGTTAAGATATTTATAATTCATTTTTTTCATGTGAATAATTATTATTTTGGTTATCGGTCTAAATGAAGGTATCAGCCGATACCAGCCGATCGGTGCATCTTTGCTTAAAATACAATGAAATCATTTAGATGTTTTTCTAATATTGTTTTTTGTTGAAATAAATTTAAAAAAATTTTTCATTTCAATATTACTGATATTGTCGTTGGCCTTTTAACAAAAAATAAGATATCTGCAATATTTAAAAAAGGAATATATATACCTCTGGAATAGGATTAGTAGGAAACGCATATAAACGCACTTTGCAAGAATCGTCACCTATACCTAATAGCTTTTGTCGACCAATTTCATTCAAGTTATTGTTAGATTTTGTACTACAATTTATATCGTTGCCACTTAGGTCTTTTCCCCATATTCCTTTTTATAAATATAGATTGATTAATATTGAAAAAATTTTTTTCTTCTAAATTTAAATATTCTTTCATGGACGACAACCTCGTTATAAATCTATCAACAACATTCTCCTAGCTCCTTTTAAAAAAGTTAATATGTCATCCATCCTCGAACCAGTGAGCCCCTCAAACAAAAACTCCATATATCCCTCATTCCCTGGACTAATGGTCACCCGCTTGCTTGAGACTATACCTGTGTAGATTTTGCAGCAAAGTCCAACCTCTCATTTTCTGACATCGAAAAGGTGAAATCTTAAAAAAAACAAATACGCTGGCCGCAGCAACACTGTGTTCATACCAATCGTTACCAATGCCACAGACATTGGAAGTGAGACCCTCAATTTCATTAAAATCATAGGAAAAAAATCAGACAGATCTCAGGGGGCCGGTCCAATTTTTAAGCATTCACCCTTCTCTAGGGTTTTTTTAAATATTTTTTTTCCCTTAGTTCTTTTTTATGTTTTTTTTCATAATTATATACATGACTTTTTTAATTTAATTTTTAATATATACTTATTTGTTTTTTAACATATATTTTTAATTCAATAGTATATAATAAATGTTCATATTTGATTTAAATCAATAATTTTAATAAAGGAAAGTTATATGAAAAAAAAATTAAAATATTCAATGCCAAAATAATATAAAAAACCAATTGGATAGTTAACCCTAATTTATTCAAGATCATCGAGTTAATATCTCTGGCGATTGAACCTCCCTTTAGCATACAAGCAAGCTAAGCTATATCTAACTTTAAGGTTTGACTCTTCAAATTTATGTTATACACATGATGTCTACACTCTGAACTCTTCACCTGACAACTACAGACCAAGATTGGCACTTGAAAATACTTCTAGCCACTAATAGTCCGAGTTTTATCACAAATATTTATTAATGAGAGTATCTTCAATAGAGGGCTTATTATCAGAGACCTGCAGGCCGGGTCGTATTTTGAATTTTAAAATACGCGAGATGGCCTAAAAATATTTTTAAAGAAATACTTGGGCCGTATATTTTAAAACCAAATTTTTAAATAGACATTATATAAAAATAATATATATTCAAAAAATCCCGGTAAGGTTTAAAAATATAAAACGCGATTAAAAAAAAATTTTTTTTTTAAATTTGCGGCCCGAATTTTTTAAAAATATTCCTTTTTAATTTTTATAGCTAATAATGGCCATTTAAAATAGTCGTTTTTAAAAAATACTTTAGGCCTGGCCCGTGAACCCGAGCCTGCAAGTCTTTGATTATAACCTACCAATTTCTTAAAGTTAGCTAAAAGAGGAAATTATTTTGTGCCGTGAACTTTAAAAGAGATAAAAGATATATTTTTTTTCTCCATAAATTATAAGCAAAAGATACTAAATTGAGAATAAAACATCCCAATTCGCCTTGTTTGGTCGTAATTTAGGTCGCTCAATTAAACTTGGATTTATTCTTTAAGGATAACTTCTAGCAAGTGTTTAATTTTAACATCTATGGAGGAAAGAAAGGAGAAGTTTAAACACGAAAAAGATTCCCTAAATAGCTGAAAGCTGTAGGGATTTCTTATCAAATATAAGGATTGATGAACCGGAATATTTCTAAATATGACTTCCAATTTTGTTATGCAAAATTTGCTTACTCCAGCTAGACTAGTTATTTTTATCAAATAGATCACTTCCAGCACATTTGCACCTGGACCGGATAAGGTTCCATCTTCCAGGTAGCTAAGATTAAGGTCTAATTTGATATCTACGATAATTTTTAATGTTAAAATTTATAGGCATTAATAAAACAAACTTAATTATTGATCATTCAAAGATGGAAGTCTTTTTTTGTCTAATTCTTTTTAACTTGTTAAGCAGTCTAATATATCTAAGGAATATATTGGCTTTTTTTACCTCATGGTATGTAAATTGAAGAGTTAAAAAAAAATAAAAAAATCCACTTGGCATAATATTTTTTAAAGAAACTCAATTTGGAAACACTATTATACATATAAATATGAGTAGAATATATGCATTATATATTTGAGTATACCTATAACTTCGAAAGTTATCACACAATTTTGGGTAGCCCAACGAATATCCCTTATGAATTCTGAGTTATTATTACCATATTGGTTCGATTTTTGTGCGCCGTGAATGAACATTTGTTGTTTCGTGTTTACATCCCAAAATAGCAATTCACAGTCGGAAGAATTACTCCTAAGGTAATATGAACCTTCATATGGTACTGACCAATCTAAGTGTGTAATTCTGGAAGAATGGCCCTTATGTATAGATAAATTAATTTATTAATTATTGAACATGTTATCTCAACGAGATTATTATATTCACATTTTTTTAAATCATATTGGTTTTAGGCATCTGTGTCTGTGGGATTTTAAAAGTAGAGGCGAATGTCAGATTTTAGAAACATGATATAAAATTTCCGAAACATATTTTTGAGGTTCCTGAACGTTTCAGATTTTTGTGATCAAAAATCATGATTATTAATTTTAAAATAACTCACAATATATATATATTTAATTTTAAACGAATTGGAAGGAAAAGATTACCTTGTTCAATGTAAACGTCACTTAAAAAAGTAGCATGTTATTTTACAGAAAAAAAGAAAAACGTGATAGTTAATCAATAATTTTCAATTCGATAAATTCGGAAAGAATTGTGGTTCTAAATTTTCAAAAATAATTACAACATCGGATAATTATAATTGAAATAACAGTACTAATTTTATCATAATTATTTTTTATTAATGCGTTACTTTAAAAAAATAATCAATAGTTACCATTACTTTAAAGTATTTTACCATTCAAAAAAAGCAACTAATGGCGTTACGTTACAACACTGGAATTAATACATACTTATAATTAAAAATATATATTTCTTACTTTAAACTGACAATAATTTTCATATTTGTAACCCTTGTCTGTAATGATGTACACGTATATTTTGGTGTCTTGCGAACCTACGGCTATATAATCTCCACCTAAATAAAATAGAAATAACTTCCTTAAAAAGAAGGTTAAAAAAATATAATTAAAAAAAGATACCTAATTTTTTTTTGGGTTTTTGATTAGAAAATGATATTCATGATTTTGGAATATGAAGCTACTTTATTATAGAATGATGATGTGTATATAAAAGTAGTATAACAAAAGTTTATTCATTAGATTGTGTTCACAAGATATATAATATAACAATTTATAATGTATTTATCTAAGGCTAATGTTATGACAAATTAAGAATTTAATAGAATATATTATATATTCTTCAGAGTTGTTAATATATTGCGATATTGTATACAATACATCATTTTTTGTATGTCGATGATATTTTTAAAATTTTATTGAACTTCGATAATGAGATTAATGATATATCTATCCGAATCATTGGGAAAACAGGCTAAATCCCTAATCAAACGAATCAGTCAAAAGTGCAATAAAACAACAATTTTGGGAGCTTTTTTGTTCAAAGAACACTTTCGCTTAAATTATTTAAAGACCAGGTTAAATAAAATATATATTATATTCTACATTTAGCTAACATAAAATCTAGAATATTAATGTTAGTTATGAAATATTTTAATCTGATAATTGCTCTAAGGTCTATTCATTTAAATATTCTCAGATTTTTATATTTATAAAATTGGGGATTAATTATTTTATTTAAAGTGACAATATGTGATAAATTGACGTAATTGTTAATTTTTTCTTAGATATTATAATATTTAAACTCAAATTCCAAATTTTTTTAAATCGGACTCGGGTCGAGTTGAAACAACAAATTTGTGCAAGGGTTCAGACATGAAAAAATTTCTTTGCAGGGTAGGAATATCTCCTTGGTAAAGAATTTTGTTTTATTTTAAAACCCAATATAATATTTTGTATTGATGTTGGTTTGTATATTTATATAATATGTATTCCTATATTTAATATTTATGTGTTTATAATTAGTAAAAAAAAATTCTAAAGAGTATAAACGATTTTATGTATAATCGAATACATTTAAGGAAAAATCCGTTTCGAATTCGTAGTAGTATCAGTTTCGATACATTTAAAAAGTATCATAAGTCTGATATTTACCTATTCCTTTAAAATATGAAAATTATTCGGATTAATACAAGTAGTAAGTAGACGAATTTTTTAATGTGCAAACACTAGACAAAGCCAGATTATTGGCTTGCAATCTTTTATAATTATGAAATTGAAGGCTCTCCTATAAGATGGTTTTAGCCTAAATTTGGAAATGCGTTGTTGCAACAAAAAAGAAAAACTCTCATATCAGTGATGAAGCGTAAAATTTCTACTAGAGAGGCAATTAGTTTTTTAATTGATAAATTTTTTCGAAATATAAAGATTTATAAATGAGCGGAATTTTTCTTTGTTTTTGGGTAAAATACGAAGTACTAAATTATAAAAGCTATTGTCAGATTAAAAAATTTTTAAAATTAAATCTGCTTCTACAATGTTATAAAAATTATATTAAAAATATTTATCATATTAGCATGATTTTTTTATATAGTATAATTTATAACCTAGTATAAAAATTACAAGATAAACAAATATCATCCCTGATAGATAATGTCAGTGCTTTCTGTTACTAAGTAGATAAATAACGCCATTAGTATCGTTTATGATACCTTCCTTTCACCGTTTAAAAAATAATAATTAGAATACAAATTTATATTCATATTTTTTTGATGAAAATAATAAAATAAAAAGTTACATTCCTCATTGTGATATCTTTTATTTCCTATATTATGCCCAAGAGTAATATCTAAGAAAAAATGCTCATGTCAGATGAGAGGATTTTATGCAAAAACATCCTTTTTGATATATAGATTTAACACAATAAAAAAAGGCATTCAAGCCTAAATCTTGAAATAGTATGAAGCTATATCTAGCAAAACAAACAAGCCATGGGTTAATGTAGATTTGTAACTTATTTTATATATATTAGAAAATAGGTTAAAAAAACACGATTTAAGAACAAAGCAATTAGTAGCTCAATTTATAAAATTGTCAGCTTCTTAATGAAAGAAAATAAATTGGAGCCAACACGCCAAAATTTATCTCATTCCAATTTTTTTGGCAGGAGACATACAATGCTATAAACAGGGGAAATATTCGGAATCGTAACGACAACCAATTAAAAAAGGGATTTTTTTATATGTTGCATTAGGCTTAGTATTTATACAACTAGCGGAACGTTTTAGTGATATAACTAACAATTATTTTTATATTTTACTCTAAAGGGTATATGTAAAGGCATGGTATTAAAAAATGATCTAAAGTTATGTCCCATTTATAAGTTAAACTAGTAAAATTATATTAAAAAAAATTAAATTTCGAACCGGGCTTGAAATCTTACCGATGCAGACCACTAATTAATTTATATACATTATTTAGCTGAATGTGATGATTATACCGCAAAATGGCCCAACAGGTTTCTTATTTCAATCTTTTACTGTATAATTTAATTTATCTGGCTTTCCGAATTTATCAATTTTATATAAATTTCTATTAACCACCCCGAACTGCCGAAAGGGTGATTAATAAGATAAAATTAGTTGAAACTATACTGATATTAAATATCGATATCGCATCGGCGCCAATATTGAACTTTAAAAAATATCAAATCAGCCAATATTTTAAAAAATTTAACCGACACCGATTTTATACACATTTTATATTATTTATTATTCATTTTTGTACCAATTTCCTTTTCTAGTAATAAATCTTCATAACTCGCAAAAAAGTAGGAAGTTGTAACACTTATGAAATAAAAATGTTTAATGTTTTTTACATTTTTAACAATAGAAGAAGTAATGTAAATTAATTAATGTATAAGTGAACGCGTTTGTGAACGAAGTTCGTTTTTTTTGAAAAAAATAATGAACGACATTCCTTCCATTTTTGACAAACTTTACAGGTGAACGCGTTCCTTTTTTTGATAATCGAGTTCGTTTTAACGTTCATTTAACTTAAGAAAATTTTCTTATTTTTATTCATTTGAAAATAAAAAATATAATCTATTTTTTTTAAGAAAAAAGGAAATAGTTAATATCTTATAGAATTTATTTATTAGTGATTATTTGAAATTTCGTTAATATTTTTATAGTTGAACACAATTTAAAATATTATAAATTAAGAAAATTTATTTTTAATAAAATTAAAATTTTTTTATGGCTAATATATTGTGTTAAAAAAATATGTGGTATTTATTTATAATTAAATATTAAATGATTTTTTTAAAAAAAAAAAATTATTCATAGTCTTGAACGTTCCTTGTTTTTGAAGGTGAATGTTAAAAGTGAACGCGTTCAATTTTTTTAGAAATGTTTATAGCACTAAAATTAATAAACTAATATAAAAAAAAATTACCCAAAATATATATTTATTTTTATTTGTCTATTGTTTATTCCATTGCTTTTTTTATTAAAAAAAATTATATTAAATAAAAATCATGTGAATTTAAATTTCATTATTTAACATAGATATATATTTTATCTCCGATCGATCCCCTTGATTATTGGAAGGTTAATGCTCAGAGGTTTTCAACTTTGGAAAACCTTGCACCTAAGTATTTAGCATCTCCTGAAACAAGTGTTTCATTCGATTCAGTCATCGGTATCGGTGCCGTTTAAAATATCGGATAGGTGAAAAAATGTGCATCGATCCAGCCCTTTTCGAAACTGTAGCAAGAAACGCAGCCTTTTAAAATTAACAATGGCATAACGTTTTTAAGAGAGAGGGGGTGCATGAATAATAAGATATTCCCCAGGAGTCTTCAAGTCAATGGGGATAGAGGACACTAGATAATATACACATTATATACGTAGGAATTTAGAATTTTTTTGAAACTTAAATTATTTAAAACTACTTTATGAGATAATGTACCCTAATAGCTTTCCATAATTAGTTTTTAAAAAATGATTTTCAACTTACAAATTCTATTTTTTTTAAAATTGTGTTTAATAGTAATATAATGACCATGAGATTTTTTTTATAGAAAATTCAAAACAAATTAAGGTTTAATTTAAGTTAATTAAATTAAAAGGTGATAAACTCCACAAAACACGCCATTTGAAAACACTAAACTAAAGTCTAAAAATATCTCCCCTATAAAACTATATAAATAAATAATAAAACTCGATAAGTAAAAAAAAGGCAAAATAAAACATTAGTTTAGTAAAATGGCATTCTAAAGACAAGAATCGAATAAAATCAGCTAAGCCTTGATATGTGATCTAAAAAAATCTGGCTTAAATCTCGAGCTCTGCCATTTCAGCGGATTAGAAGGAGGAATTTATCAACACTCTCATTATCGTCAATTAGTTTATTTTTCCCAGGTGACTATTCAAATGTTATGCAAAATATGATTATTTCTTTTGAACTTCAGAAATCACGAATTTAGAAATATCTATACAAAATAATTATGGTCAAATCCCATGATAAATCAACAAAAAAAAATTTCAAGACAACCCTTCAGATTTTTCTAAAATTTTAAAAGAATTTTTATACCTTATAACTAAGATAAAATATAAATATCTAGTCCCCAACTCCTAAAAGTGGTTAGGATATGCGGCTCTAAATATCTAAAAAATGGAGCTTTTTGGGCAAAATGCAGTCCCTTTAATTTAAGATATAATTAAGCCAGAAGCTTCATTTAAGTTTCTTTATATAGCTTTAATGATAGGCATTTAAAGAACATAATGTTAAATTTTTTTAAAAAATTTAAATGTTGATAACAAATGATCAAATCAAATCGCATTTATTTTCTCTCAAATTTTTATTATGTATGCAAACTCTAGTAAAAATTTTAAAATTTGAGGGGGTCGGGTCTCTAGTAAAAATTTTAAAATCTGAGGGGGTCGGGTTGAAACTCATTTTGATTTGATTCACCATATACTAAAAAGATTAACTTGGAGAATATGAAAGACAATATATGACATCAGTATCATTGCCATACTGGCCTATGATTTGCTTATCTTCCAAATTTAACACAATCCAGGATCCTGTATTAGTACCAATAGCCACCAAATTTTCACTCGTAGGACTAAAACAAGCGCAAGTGGCGGATTCCTTTAAAAAAAAATAATGTATTAGAATTAGGTACAGAGGTTATAGAAAAAATAGACACTTTTACATGGCGGGAAGAGGGGGGGGGAGAAGAGACACAAGTCAATGAAATTAAAATGGGTTATGAAGACTGGGAGTTTTGCTAATTTTAATTTCCTTTTTTTTTGTGTAGGGGCCCTTATTGGCTCTTAGAAGTGACTGGAAAAATATTCTGCAAGTTAAGTTAGTTAGAGGTCATAACAGCCAATCGGGCTGAGACAATTTGGTTTTATGGCTTTGCCGGTAAATTTTGTAATAATATTTTATGAATGAAAAAGGCATATATTTGCCAAATTATTAAATCTAAAAAATTTTGTAAACTTCTGGCCCATAAAAATATTTTTTATAAGTAATCCAGCCGCAATTCTGGCAAACTCTAAGGTTAGTATAGTTAACCCCCATTTTAAAACTGTTATATTTCATTAAGTTTTAATATTATAATAATTTCCATTACCAAATAATAAAATTAACTATACACAATAATATATACTATATATTTAATATATATAAATTAATGTTATAAAAAGAAAATGGTGTAAGATGAAATATACTAATTAATTAGGAATGAAGAAAAATACGGTAAAAATGCATTCTAAAGTTTTTTAAGCACATTCCAAGCATATTACATAAATTTATCGGACTTACATTAGTGTTAAAATTATGATTAACAAATAATAATGCTCTAATAAAATGTAATACAAATTTAATCATTTATTAAACGAAATATAATAATTATAATTTGTTGTCTTGATATTTTTTGACAAGGGTGCATAAAAAAAAGTGAGGGTAAGAAGGAAAACTTCGAGGGAGGATAATGGTCTCAGGTCTAAGGGTTTATCAACCATTCCAAGTTAAAGTGGATCTTATATTAGACTTCATCTGGGTCTATTTTTTCCCCTCACCATTTAATTTTAACCCAGCTAGCCGAAATAAAATAAATAATCATTGTAATATCAGCTTTAAAAAACTAACAGTTATTTCTCGGTAAAAAATGCATCTACGCCTTCTACAGTCCCATAACTTAATCTGCCCGTTCAGGTCGGTGGTTAGCATTTCATCCTTAGATGGGTGGTAAGTTAAACCGGTTATTATATCAACGTGACCCTTTGTAATTTTCAGCGTAAAGGTTTATATAAATATAAAATTCGTATATACATTTTTAAAAGAGAAAAAAATGATATTTAATTTTTACCTGAATTAAAACACTGAATCCATCTTTAAAATTTCCGTGCAATAAGCAATTTTTGGTAGTGCCTATCAAAATACAATTACCACTGTCTAGCCCGTTGAGACTAACAGAATTGCTTAGGAGTTTTTTGTCTGAGATATCATTATTGGTAGCTTTCACTTCATTTTTTGATAACTCCTTTTCCCCTATGGTATTCTTATCATCATTTTGAAAGTTGAGTCCAGGGCATATCACTCTTATGGCACCCAAATTTTCGTCCAGCTTTGCCGTAAAATGTTTTTATAATTTGAAGAAATAATAATTTAAACACAGTTCTCCTCACTTTTTCTTCCTTTTTTAATATTGAGGGAAGTGAATTCAAATTTTTTTATTAATTGATATTTTTGATAATTGAAGAGGTAAAATTATCCAAGAGATTTAATTTTTTTAAAAAAACTTGATAAATAATAAAAAATGATGACAATTATTTAAAATAAACCACCTGGGTTGTTTGAGTTAATAATTCGAATGAATGAGGAGCCCAGGTTTTAATGATTCTATCTTTCCCACCCGTTGCTATAATATCACTTCCTATTTTTTTACCGTTGTAGCATTGATAGACCATAATGGAAAATAGACCGCCAGGGTGAATGTTTGGCAAAATGTTTATCAGAGACATGTCATCTTTTTTATATTATATATTTTAGCAAAATAGATTAAGTTGATGGTCTATTAGGCAGGATATAAGATTACAATTTTTCAGCCAAAAAATTAGCTCGCAACTCAAGACAGTTTTAGGCTATGGCCTTTAGATTGAATGCTATGTTCTCTCATAGTTTATATTATTTTAAATGTTCAAACATTCAGCTGTATTTATGCGAAATTAGATTCTAACTATCATTATTTTATTTCTATAGATCACCTTGGTAAAACTGTAAAAGCTAAAGATGTTAAAATAATATTGTGTAAATTCCAAATTATATATTATCTAGACAAAAAAATATTATAAATAATATAATGGAAAATATATGGGTACACTTATAAGCATGCTAATTTAAAAATTTAATTAGTATGGGCATTGCAAACTGTATTAATAGTTTCGATGCTATTTATTTATAAAAAATATTATTATCACCTTTGGACCAAAGCATTAAAGAACCATTTGAATCACCGGTGAGTAGATTTCCATCGTGTAAAAATGCTAAGCAAATCACAAATTTTGGTTTATCATTTTTCTAAGAGATGTATTACAATAGTAATATAAAAAAGAATTCTTTTATTTTTTATTTTTATAAACATATTTAAAAAAATTTTTTTAATTTGTTTGTTTCACTTAACCTAAACTGAGTATTAGATTTTTTATTAAAATGAGGCTTCATTTTTTTGTATCTTTTAACATTGACGCTTCGTTATAAATTCAAAATTAGTTGGTACCAATGTTAGAAGATACAATTTCTTTTGTTAAAATAGAGACTTAATTTAAAAAAATAATCTTACTCAAGGACAGCGTCTACATGACAGGATTTTCACTGGATGCAAACCCCCTTCAAAAACTTTTGCCTACCCCCTAAAAAATCCCCGCCGCCTTCGGCGGAGATGTCTCTTTATCATTATTTTCACCTATTTATTTATTGATACTCTTTTCAAATAATTTATAAAGGATACTTAAATTAATCTATCTCTACTACCAACTATCGATATTTTGTGAATATAAAGAATTTATTTTTTAGATAATAAATTTAATTAAAACCTCCATTATTTACAATGAATTAATTATTATGGCATTATGAGCTTGCTGAAATATCTAAACCTTTTCAATATAATTTAAAAGGATAGTTTATTTGGAAAACAATGTGTATGATTGTTTGCAATATATAGATTTGGTCGATGAATTGTATTATAATAATACTATAATAAAAGTATTAATTTTTACAGTAATAAACTTTGTCTTATTTCATCTCAAAATTTAATAGATAACTCCCAAAAATTTTTTATCCTACCCCCATTAAAGCAGCTTACCCCCTACCCCCTCAAAAAAATAGGATGCAAACTGTTCCTACCCCTCCCGCTCATGTAGACGCTGCTCAAGGACAAGGAAGTCACTTTAGTCCTATGGTCAGCTTTCTACAAATTACTCATCTCAATAATACCACACCCCGCTCGTTGTGTTTAAAATGATCAATTTATTTGTTTTTTAGATTAAAGTTAAATGAATATTTTAAAAAAGGTGAAAGCTTTTCTTTTAAATTTAATAAAGTTATTTTAAACTTTTCACCTCCCTTCCCCCAAATTTTTCTATTAAATCCCTTACCATTAAAGTTTTATCAAATTATTTGGGCAAAGGTTGGGGGAAAATATATTTAATTTCAAATGATAATAAATAAATATCACTTTCCTACACTAAAATAGTTAAGAATTCTCTCAGAGAATTTGGGAAATCAAATTATTAAAATTTATACTGCTCTGAGACCCCATTAGTAATTTTTGTTATTTAAATTTCAAAATCATATGGGTTTTTTAAACAGAAATCCAAAGTCAACTGAACCATTTTACCGGAAAGAACATTTATGAATTTCTGAACCATAACTATATCTTTATTAAAATCCTTAAAAAGTACGAACTGAACCTACTTAATTCTTCTGAACAGTTGGAAACCTTAATGTTATATAAAAGTGTTAATACAATATATTTTTATATAATTTTTATAGCGGTAATTATTCAAGATTTTAATCTTGTATTGCTCAATTATATTTGAATTTAGATAATAATTAAAAGTAAAAAGGCCGATCCATAAATTTTTTACCTATCCGATCCTGATATCGATATTGTTGCATAATATATTATTTTATTTAATCGATATTCACAAAATAATATATATTTGTATTTTTATTTACGAAGCCTTTAGCCACAATTGATTGAACATAAATTGATTTACGATAGATATATTTATCCAGATTTTGTGTAAAAAGAATATATATAATCGAGAAAACGAATTTAATTGTATTTTAAAAAGAACATATAATTTTTACGTTAAAAAAATAAACGATTTTCTTTATATGATAAATAATTTTGTTCATTATGTTTTATTAATAAATAAAGAAACCAGACTTACAGATTATTCTACTACTTATTCTTTTTAGCGCGATAATTCTTTAATTGCGTCAGATATTTATATTCATATTTTTTTACCATCTCTTTTTTGAACCAATATAATAAAAATATCATATTTTCTATTTTATAAAAACTAACTTTCACGAATGATTAAGCGTATTTTGTTTTTTTTATATTCCAAAAGTTCTGCCATCTGCTGTGGGCAAAATAAATAAGTTTGGGTAATTTACTTTTGGCCAAAATCTTGAGTTAATCGTTTTTAAAAATTGGCGAAATCGATCCATTTAACACAACTAGCTGAATGTGACTCCTTAGATATTTTAAAATCATTTTCTTATTGCAGATAAAATAATAAAAAAACAGCGCATAATTTTTTAACTAATTTTTTACATAGCAACAAATATATTGTATTAAGTCCCTTTGCTTAATTTATTACTATTAAATTATTTATAAAATAAAAAAATTTATATTATATACAATAATAAAATAACCAAAAACAATAAAAATAATGGGTCGGGTTTTTAAAAAATATCGGTGCCGATCCGAAATTTAATATCAGCACAGCCCTAATTAAAAATTTTATTTAAAAGTATCACACTAAAATATATATTACATTTTTCAAATGTCAAATCTTATTTAGTTAATTAATTACTGTGGATTGGAATACATATAACTTATAAGTTCTAATAATATCTCTTTTTCATATTCTCATAAGAAATTTACTTTTTTAAAACGTCTTTCTATATTTTAGTTTTATTTAAGAAATTCAATATAAATTTTACAAATATTTAAAAACCCGAAAATATGGTCTTTAGTACCGTAACCGAAATCTTTATAATGTAAGCACTTGAATGGTAACTGAATAGTATTCTTTATAATTTGAGAACCTGAACCGTATCAGACCCAGAACCTGACCCTGTTTTGAAAACAATATTTCCTTTCAGCATTGGTAGTTTCGATGACTCCAAAATTTAAGAATTGTTTAGTTCACCAGTGGAAATTTATACACACAAAACAAATTTTATAAAAAAAATTGAAAATATAATATATTTTGTAGTTACATCAAAAGTAGCATTTTTTCTAACCAAGCTTAACGAATTGCTTAGGGTGGATAAATGATCTCTCTTTTCACCTGATTTGGAATCGTCTTTAATAATTTTCCAAAGTGTTAAATTAGATTTGCCGCAAATGACAATAAAACCGGGTTTGAATGGAGAAAATTTGAGTGATAATATTTGATCTGGACCGGTCTATATTGAATTTTTTTATAATATAAATATAATAGCTTATATAAATTTAACAAAGGTTTTGAAAATTGAATTAAAAATAATGTAAGTGTGACTATCATAATTTTATATTAATCTAACCCGCAGTAATCTCATCGTTAATTCTAACCCCAGGTCCCGTCCAATCTATAATTTTTTGTTCAACCGAATCGACTATTTTTTTCAGGATCCAAGTCAATCCGTACAGATCTGATGAGAAAAACTTAAAAAGTATTGAACAGAAAGAACACGAATTAAGAAAGCGAAAAAATTATATGCGCCAGAGAAAAATAAAAAATAATGGTGTTTTATTTAAAGAACATCTATAAAAACATTGGGAAAACAATGCTAAAAAATCGAGCCGAGGTCTGATTGCGGCGCAAATAAAATTTTGAATCAAGGTTCGGCCCTAGGGTTTCTGAGGATTCAGGATTTTGAGATTCGACGAATCCGAATTATAAAATTAAAGATTAATTTATTTAAAACCTGGCAAAATTGTGAAATAATTCCAAACTTTATATATATTTTTGGTTGACAATGTGTCTATTATCTTGAGATTATGAAAGGCTGAATGATTGTATAAATCATTATTTTCCTAGATTATATTTTTACTCTATGATATTTTCAATGAATTATTTTTCTCGTTTATCTTATAAACGTCCAATAATATCAGTGAAGATTTACTTTTAATTATTTTCTAATAAATTTTTTTTTCTTCAATTATATTACTAGTATTAGAAATAGGAATAAAAAAATATATTTCTATATTTAATTTGAAAATTAGAGAAAAAAAACTGCAAATCTTAATCAAATTTATTAGTTTAAAAATAAATATGAATAAAATAGTGAGATGTGATTAGAATTAGCTACAATTGGAATTGATTATAAAAAAAGGGTAATTTTTTAAAGGTATAAGAAAAGGAGAGATAAGATTTGATAAACCTACAATGTTTGTTAGAAAATTAAGGCAACAAATATTTATTTAATATATTTATTTAATTCTAAATTTTAAGCAAATTAATTTAAAAACAAAAAATATACATTTAAAAATATAAGAATTTTAATTTTTTTCCTTACTTCTCAAGATCCATAAATTTTCTTTTTGAATAATAAAACAAAACGAAATATTACTCTTAAGATTAGTGTTGTTAAACGACTCGTTTTGAGCCAATTTTTAAAAACACTCAATATTTTAGCCAGAAAAATATTGCCTAAGCCACGATATTTCACTAATAGATGTCCAAACCTTTGTTCCTTCTATAAGCAAAATCTTCAGGCTTATGTAATATTATTCTGGATGAAATATTGAGTTAGTTTTTAAAAATAGGCTCAAAACGAGCCGTTTAACACTACTTAAGATATAAAAATTTAGAAAAAAAGAATTATACACGGTCATTCTTATAAAGCCTTATAATTTTTAAATATTTTTGGATTTGGTGATATTGCATCTTGACGTATGAAAATTTTTTTAGCAAGGAAATATATATGGTAGGCAAGGATAGATATGGTTACAATCATAGTCAAAATTTGTGATTACTACTGGCATAGACTCATTAAAAAAACCAAGGAAAATATAACCCTCTCCCCTTGTTTCCCTATGAAAATTTCTGGTTGACGCCCCTGTTTATTATACTCTATGTTTTTAAATTCAAAAACGAATTATATTCAAAAAACGATAAAAAATGAAATAACGGGATGACAGGGTAAGTTATCTAAAATCTTTAAAAATCATATTTCCTATATAATATATGTATATTCACTTTAGTCTCTATTAATTTAGTACTTCTTTCCCAATCCCATATTGAGAGGATATGATCACTAGAATCATCTATCACTGCGAGTAATTTACCGCCATCCTTAATATCAATTTTTGAAAAGAAGAAAAATGAATATTTTATAATCTTGATGCAAATTTTTTTATTATACCGTTTGTGAAAAGCAAATGCAAGTAATGGCTTTCTCAAAACTTTTGTCAAAAATGACGGCCAAAGTTTGTAACGTCGACGAATCCCATATCCTTGCGTGAGGCTGGATTAATGTAATGTCGTTTTTTTTAAAATTTAATCAAATATTTAATGTGCAAGTTAGAGATCTGCAAAAGAAGGCCCACCAAATTTTATGTTGAATTTTTAATGTAAAATAAAAATATTTTATTTTATTTATAGAAACTAGACGCCATATGACATATATCTTTTATTTTGAGTAATTATAAAAATTAATTTCGGGCCAGGCTTGAAAAATTAGACCAGATGCAGATCACTAGTGCAAGTTAATGAATAATGATTAATTATATCGAATTAAATATATTTACGGATCGCCTAAAATAATTTTAAATTGATATACCAAATTAATAAATAAATATAACCTCTTATTTTCTTCTAAAAATCCCCTCCTCCTCCCCACTTTTTATAATCCCATTATACTTTAGCAAAACGTATTTACCATTCTGTTATGTTAGTGGAACCATAATTTATATAATACTAAAATATTATTTAATTATATCAGAGACCTGCAGGCCCGGACCTAAGCCCAGCCCGGATTTAGGGCCGGGCCGTATTTTAATTTTTTAAAATATATCCGGGCCGGGCCTGATAATTTTTTTTTAAAAAAATCCGGGCCGGGCCTTACTAATGGTACTTCTACAGGTCTCTGAATTATAATTTAGAAGTTTATTTATATTTATTCGCTCACCTAATTTGTTTAATTTTGATTTGGATTCTGGTGATAATTTTAATCATATAAGGGTAACCTCGTTCATATTATTAATAATAATATTTCTTATTATTCTTATTAAAAACATTTATTTTGACCTTTCATTAATTGTATATAATTTATATAAGAATATCGTATTTGGTAAAATTCATTTTAATATAAATTTTATAAAAGTGAAATAATAAATTAATATTTAATAAAATAAAACTTTAAAATAATGTATAAATTAAACAATATAATATCTGCCGGTCACACATTCCAAAATATAAACATAGATTAGTATTTTACAATTTAGAAATGTGACACCATTCTGAGATAAACGATGCATTGATTATCGAGAAGATGAGTTAAAATTAGTTTTACGAAAAAATCGAAAAACCTTGAAATAATAGTATTCATCGTCAAAGGTATCCGTCGCGTCGGCAGGATGATTATATTTACTAGTCTTGAGAGATATCCTGTTCGATATAGAAGGTACCTGAACGCTTGTTTTTTCCTTTAACCCGGCGGTTTGCCCGCTGGCTACTATGATGCGTTCGGGATGTACAGCAATACTGTAATACATAAATATAAAATTATATAAATATTTTATTATTATTTTATCAGACAATTAAATTTAGTAATTCAATGGCTTTAGTCTGGCATATTAGGCTCAGAATTGTGGCTGCAGCATAAATTTTGCAAATTAGTTATAAAATATGTGTTTTAATTATAAAAGTAAATTTGTTACTAAATAGTAATTATCTGAATTTACTAAGATTCCTTAATTTATTCGAAAATTGATGTATTTAAATTATAAACTAATATTAGTAGATTTAAAACTTATGTAGAAATAATTTAAGCCTTATATAAAGTTTAAAAAAATATTATGCAAGGTCTTTCCCCAATTAAAATGTAATCCATGCCTTTTTCCAAATTTTTACCTTTAGATTAATATAAGTAGAGGTTCTTACGACCTAAATATTTATATAAAAAAACTGAGATCATACCAGTCAGATGAATAATGAAGGTTTTCATAAATTATATTACATATCTATAAACTATGGCAAGATTATTAATGCCATTATTAAGTTGTGAAAGAATAATTTTAATTAAAAAGAATGTGGGTGGAATTATACATTTAAATTATATCAATTAAAGAGTTGGAAAATATATAATAAACCAATTAAAATTAATTTATCGTATAAATTCCACTGGTATTTTAATTTATTTATAAAATAATTTAAAAATAATAAAATTTTAATCCGGGTCGAAATATAGTTAAAATTTTAAAAATTCGGATTGGGCTTAAAAAATGTTTCCGGAAAAAAAACTTTATAAATGATAATTGATAAAGCGATCATTATCTCTCTGACTTGGGTACATAATTAAAAAAGCATATATATTTCTTTTAAAAAAAGAATTGTTATAAGAAATATTTTTTTACAGCATATATTACACTAAGTAAACTATGTAATATACCATTTGATTTCTTCCCTGTGTCCCGAATATATCCTCTGTTTCCTTTCGCCATTCCCCAAATTTAGTATAATAGCCATGGAGGCTGTATGATACACCCACTCATTTTGAGATTTCAATAAATGAACGTTATTTCTCCCCTTCTTTCCTTGATATCCATACACCCAATCTATCGATAAATCAGCTCTCGGTTTAAAAGCTATAAGGCTCGACGAAATGGAGTTCGTGTTACTGGAGGCTTTTATAGGTTATTTAATATTAAATGATAGTAAAATATTTTCATAGTTAAACCAATATACAGTTATGTTTACTCGTTCTTACCAAGTTAGAATCGAACATAGATATCCTGTTATCTTATTTTCTAATTAAAAATAGTCTTATATTATTTAATATGGTTTTTTTATAAATTAAAATAAATTTTTATTATAAAGTTACATATTTAAGAAAATCGCAAAAATTATGTCGACTAAAAAATAAATCTCGAATATTCATTATATCTATTTAATTTCATCAACATACAATTTAAATTTTTTTGTATAATTGATTTTTATGAGAAAATTTCACATAATTAATTTTTAATTTTGGAGTTTTACTTTTTATCTTTATAAATTTTAAAAAAAGTCGCAATTTTATTAAAAATTTGTTTATTAATATTCTTTCCTATTGGTTATGATAATATATCATTGCTTTTAACAATTTTAACTATATCGAGATTAAAATTTGATTATATATTGATAAATATAACAGGTTGAATTGTATATATATGAGATATCTGCAGGTTGGGTCCGCAGCCAGGCTCAAAGCTTAAAATGGTATATTTTTAAAATCCGAGCCGAGTCTAAAAATAAAATCACAAACCCAGACCGAATTCTAATATTTTTTATAATATCAATAAACACAAAAATACATGATGGATCATTTTAAATTCGTCTCTCATATTATTAATCAATATAAAAAAATTTATAGAATGGTGACAAAATTTTTAACGTGACCAAATTTTATAAACTGACTGAATTGTAAATTAATAAAAAGAATCAGGGCTGGATTAATTTACAAAAAACAAGGCTATGTCGGGGCAAAAAATTTATGGGGGGGGGGGACTTTTTTTTATAAACTGCAAATTCTTTGGTATTAGATTTTTGTATATCACATTAAATAAAACAAACATGTACCCATATTCTTTATAATAACCGGTTCTTAGCTTATTTTAGAATAGATAAGTAAATCATTCATATTATATTTGGAAAAAATTTATATCGATTTGTTTCATTTCGGTTTTATAAGTTTGGGATTTTAAATTGAAACTCCCTAATAATCTAATAAAAATACTGTGAAAATTTTAAAAAATATAAATCAATTAAGGATTAAAAAATGAATATCTTTTTTTTATAAAAATTACAAACGACAACTATAATTTTCTAGGACATCTTATTTTTACAATTAAGAGAATATATGAAAACGTTAATCTTTATTATTTTGTACAAGATTCAATAAAAATTTTTAAGTTTTTTTATAAACGATTGTACTATAATTTCCTAAAGAGTCATTTTAAAACATTTATATCCTCCATGTATTTTTTATATTTCAGAAATTGTTAGTCATGAAAAATTGAAAGTGGCAGTTTTTTCAAGAGGCAGAGTAGTAAAATAAATAACAAATTAATTTAATAAATCTGTATTATTCATTTTTTGAAATTGAATTCGAACGAAATTTTATATTTAAATAAATATTTCAAATGCTAATCTTTTAAAATAAACAAATATACTCACCCTTGGAATTATTAGATAATGGTTAAGTTATGGTTTAGAAAATTATAACCGCTTTTACGGTTCGGTTAGGTTAGACACCTGATATTAATTAATAAAACAAATGGAGCCCTGCATGGACTGACAAACATTTTCCCGGACTCGGCCAGATTCGGACCTTGATTAATTAATTTTAAAATATCATTTCAACAGTCTAATAAAAAAACTGGATTGCATGGATCGAACAAAATTTTTTTTCGAATCCTCCTGAAAAAGGAGGGCTTAAAAATGAAATATATAAATGTATTTTAATTTTTTTTATCACTTTCGAACGAATATTTGGTCGGAGCGTAAAATATAACTGGTCTGCCTTTTATCCTCTTTTTAAAGGATCTATCCGCTAGATAAATATATAAAAAAGTATATTATTTATTATCAAACATCAAGAAAGAAATATTTCTTATATTTTAAAAAGGTTTCGTTTTTTTGTTAAAAAATATAAAAAGGCTTAGGTTATCCTATAATTTAATATTTACGCCAAAAGTGGCTAAACCCTTTACCACATATGAGATATGACTATTAATTAGTTTGTTAACTACTTTTTTAACCTAACTTAAGATTATATCATTTAACAATGTTTATTAGGTATCTTAATGACATGTAATATTTCATTTTTATAAAAATTAATTATCTTAAAAAAAATATTTACATCATGAGCTATAGTTGGCTGTTCCCTAATTTTCATTTTGTGTAACTTTTAATTACACTTAACCTCCGTCAAATTTTTCCTTTCAAGCCAATAACCTAAGGATGTCAATTTTAAATTTGCAAATATGGATAGTGACTATGAATAAGTGGAATCAATCCCCTCCCCCAGCCAATAGGGCCCCATATTTCATCTGAACAATTGATAATATGTATCGACTGGTTGTAAAATAATAGCTTCCTATACATGCTCCACATGTAATATTCAGATGTGAAACAACGATGCCGGCCTTCACACTGAAAATTCTCGAAAGAACTCTAACACACTGCGTCCAAGGTTTCTTATCTAGACACACACAACCGTCTAATGGATTGACAATGTGTTTATCTCTTGCATGAGATTGCACATGAATCGACGTGTTTGCTAAATCATATGTGAACTGCCTCTCCTTTGCCGAAAATAGGGACTAATATTCATCCAGAAACAATGTATGCTTCGTTCCGTCCCTAAACAAGAGGGGAAAAAATATCTTGCCTCTGCAGTGACCTCAAAAAATTTTTTTTATCTTCTCAAAAACATTGGCTTGGAAATATGTTGTTTAAATTTCTTATCAATTCGTGGTTCTATGTAGCGTTAAAAAATTAATTTTTTTAATCTACCTTTCTTTTAATTCCATATTTTTTTACTTTTGAGTTATTCTTATTTTAAATAGTTTTATATTTATATTCTTATATTAGTTTTAGAGATTTAGATTAATATTATATAATAAAAGTTTTAACTATGATTTTATAATTTAAAAAAAAATATATGCATTTATTTGTATGTATGTAACAAAATAGTTACAAGATAATTTCCTCTTCTGATAATTTTGCAGATTACGACATTATTGAGGATGGCAATTTCAATTTTTCAAATAATTATACTTTTATAAACGAAGAAGAAAAAAAAATGGAAATATGCCTACACATCCCCTTTAATTATCTAAAATTAAATGGAAAGTCCACTTTATCGGCCGACTTAAAGACTCTAAAGAGAAGTTCTTGCCAATCGAGCAATTTTGTTCAACTAAAGCGCCTATACATTTTAAACAATATCTACCCACCCTATAAATAGCTTCTAATACTACATACGTGAGTTGAATTTATCTATGATTTCGAGCTATATTCTGTGCAGGAAAATTATTCTAAAGATATAATAACATCCGAGCCCGATTTAGGGGAATCCACATTAATAAAAATTACTTTGTTTTATATTATATTAATGTATAATAAATGTGTATTATTATTATGGTCATAATAAAATACGGCCATGGCTACACCATACATGTAGATCAATTGATTGGCGTTATTTACTCAATAAGCTATACTACACCTAGTAAGGTATTATTTAGTCGGTAGACTATATCAGACCCTGTAAGATGGAATTTAGTAGGTAGCCTTGGTCACCATACCGTGTAAAATGTTATTTAGTCGATAGACTATCACACCTTATCAATTTTTAGAAAAATTGTAAATCTTGTCAAATTGAAAATTTTAAGTCGTTTTATCTTTTTTTTACTGCTTTGGTCTATAATTTTGCTGAATTGTTTATATAATTTTTGATTACATTATTTGAGCTGAAACATGTAATGAATCACAAACTTAGATGTAACACTTAGTATTCTAACAAAAAAAATAAAGCATCACTTACCATAAGGGTCCAATGAATCAAATAAAATAGCAGTCTTTTTATTTTTAATTTCACATTATTATAGATTAACATTATATTTATTTAAAATTATAAATTTTTTAAAATCGGCAGAATATACTTGAATATTCATTTACAAATTTGCTTTTTTGCTTATGCTCTTCTGCCTTTATTATGGCACATAGTTCAGCAAGGTTTTTTTTTATTAGATATGTTTTTAAATCTAATATCATGTTTTTTAGCGGGTCTGGGCCGGGCCTGGGTATAAAAATTTTTTTTTTAATGGGCTTGGGCCTAAAATTATTAAATTTAAATTTAGATTGTTTAAAACTACTGTTTTGGTCTATAATTTTGCTGAATTGTTTATATAATTTTTGATTACATTATTTGAGCTGAAACATGTAATGAATCACAAACTTAGATGTAACACTTAGTATTCTAACAAAAAAAATAAAGCATCACTTACCATAAGGGTCCAATGAATCAAATAAAATAGCAGTCTTTTTATTTTTAATTTCACATTATTATAGATTAACATTATATTTATTTAAAATTATAAATTTTTTAAAATCGGCAGAATATACTTGAATATTCATTTACAAATTTGCTTTTTTGCTTATGCTCTTCTGCCTTTATTATGGCACATAGTTCAGCAAGGTTTTTTTTTATTAGATATGTTTTTAAATCTAATATCATGTTTTTTAGCGGGTCTGGGCCGGGCCTGGGTATAAAAATTTTTTTTAATGGGCTTGGGCCTAAAATTATTAAATTTAAATTTAGATTGTTTAAAACTACTGTTTTGGTCTATAATTTTGCTGAATTGTTTATATAATTTTTGATTACATTATTTGAGCTGAAACATGTAATGAATCACAAACTTAGATGTAACACTTAGTATTCTAACAAAAAAAAATAAAGCATCACTTACCATAAGGGTCCAATGAATCAAATAAAATAGCAGTCTTTTTATTTTTAATTTCACATTATTATAGATTAACATTATATTTATTTAAAATTATAAATTTTTTAAAATCGGCAGAATATACTTGAATATTCATTTACAAATTTGCTTTTTTGCTTATGCTCTTCTGCCTTTATTATGGCACATAGTTCAGCAAGGTTTTTTTTTATTAGATATGTTTTTAAATCTAATATCATATTTTTTAGCGGGTCTGGGCCGGGCCTGGGTATAAAAATTTTTTTTTTAATGGGCTTGGGCCTAAAATTATTAAATTTAAATTTAGATTGTTTAAAACAGTTGCTAATTTAATGAAATATTGCCTTTTTTTCTTCTAATAATAAATTTTAGTATTGTAAACAAAATGATTGCCTAAATATATTATATTGTTAATTTTCATTAAATAAAAAAAAATTAAAATTTTTTATATGGGCTTGGGAATTTTGTGAAACTTATTATGGGCTTGGGCCGGGCATGGGAATTTTTTTAACATTAAATATGGGCCGGGATTGGGCCAAAAAATTTTTTTTACTGAGGGTCTGGGCCGGGCTTGGTCAAAAAATTAAGGCCCATGAATCTGTATCCTATACCCATAATAAATGAATTACTAGCAACACTAGGTAATGGATCCAGGGGCCCCTACAACGGGGGGGGGGGTCCGAAGCAACTGCTTCAGTAAATTTGAGTGGGGGTACTTTTTTTTACATCCATCATGATCATGTGATTTCTGGTTTATAAATGTAACAATAAGACCCCCCCCCCCCACTTAATATTTAATTTAATATATTGACGTAAATTTTGGTCGATGTTTAGTAAATTTGTTATCCGAAATTTCTTGTCATAAATTATTTTTCCAATTTTAAAATATGCCTAAAAATATTAACCAATATTGACAATAGCAAAATTCCTAGAAATTGGATTACTTATATTATTAAAATGTATAAAGTTTTTTGCTTAACATGTCTCTTATTTGGTGGTCCACACGCAAATACAAAATGGACATGTGAAGGTCTAGATAAATGGCAAAATATTAATCGTGATATTATTCTGCATGAATTTTCACAGGCACATATGATGGTCGATTATGGAAGGCTTTCTCATAATAAAAATTCGATATTAAAATTTATAACACCTCAGAAAGAATGTGTAGACAATAACCATTCTATTATAAGAATTATAATAAGATGTTTAGATTATTTAATATATATCTCGTAACCAAGCCTTCTGGGGAACAGGCAACAAGAAGGCAATATGATGGCCCTTATTAAGCTTATTGCAGATTCTGAACCTATACTAAAAAGGTATATACAGCAAAATGAAGAAAGAAAAAAGGATAAAAAAAATAAGGGATTAAAAACGAAATTATAAACATAAACATTCTATTGAAACCATGAAAAATATGGTTATAAAAAAAATTCAAAATGAGATTAAATTTAACAGGTGCTTTTCAATCATAGTTGATGGCACATACGATGTTTCGAAATCAGAAGCAATAGCTTTGATAGTAAGATATGTTGAAAATAGTGAGACGCCGACTGTTGAAAGACTGATTGACATATATTGTACGGGAAATACCACAGGTCTCGATATAAAGCATAATATAATATCCAAACTTGGCTCGATGAATTTACCCCTTGAATATCTAGTTGGGCAAAGTTATGATGGCCCCTCAAACATGAGTGGAAGAATCAATGGTGTGCAAGCCTTGATTAGAGCAGAGGAGCCAAAGGCAGCTTTTATTTGGTGTTATTGTCATCGATTAAATTTAATCGTTGTTCAATTATGCCAATCAATTAAAGAACTTCGAAATGTTCTAGGAATACTAGATGAGATTTATGTCTATTTTAATGATGTAAAAAGATATGAGGTACTCAAAAAATTTCAGTGTAATGATCTGAAAAAATCGCAACGATTTCTATGCGTCAAGAATACCACTCGGTAATAGTTACTTATTTATTTAAATTTTAAATGTTTTTTTTATTTAGAAGCTGGCTATCGTCATATAAAGCTATTGTAAATTTTTTTCAACTTTATGATGCCTTGAGGGCAGCTTTAACAAATTTAAAGGATTCTGAAAATCCTGCCACTTCCACTATGGCTAGTGCTATAATCTTTAGAATAGAAAAATTTGATTTTATCTTATCACTTTGTGTTTTGGATAAAATATTGTTGATAACAAGTTTGGCTTGTACAAAATTGCAAACCATTTCGAAGGATATAGGGTATGCAATAAATCAAATTCAATTGACAAAAGATTGCTTGATTAATTTGAGAAGTATAATATAAATTATTGTCTTAATTATTTTTTAATCTAATAGATAATAACACTGAATTTTTGGATGTTTTTTCAAAGGCGCAAGATTTTATGAAGGAGAGAAATCTACATTTTGATTTTGAAAGTTCTAGACTTCAAACATTACAATCCAAAAAGGAGAGGTATATATACTTTCATCATTAAATATAGAAATTTTTTTTAGCTTTAAAATAGGTGTGTTTTATGCTGCACTCGATTTAATTATTATGCAGTTTAACGAAAGATTTAATGATGATTCCATGAAATTTTTACATCAAACATCATTTTTTACGCCAAAGGGAATGGCAGAAAAATCAATTATTAAAGAAGATATCGAGGATATCTGTGAATTTTACAAAATTCAAGTCAAATTTTCGAAGAATGTTGAAGTTTAGAATATTTATAAGATGGCCAAAATGGGGAATGTAATTTTTAATCATGACCTAGAGGTTCAAGAATATAAAGATTTGTCAGATTCTGAGAATTGTAAATTTATTTAATTAAAATATTTTTACCAATACATTATTTAGCTTCTTCTGATGATGATGATAATTCAGGGACTTACGATTCAGATTGGAAAAACTATTCATTTATTTTATCTTATCGTTTACTTTTAAATTTTTCTGCTTTCCCTAATTTAAGAATTTTATATAAATATTTATTAACCATTCCCACAACCTCATGTACTGCCGAAAGAGTCATGAGTAAAATTAAATTAATTAAAACAAGACTGCGCAGTACCATGAAAGATTCTTTTCTCAATAATTTAACCATATTATCAATGGAAAAAATTTTATTTAAACAATTAAATACTGATGAAATTATAAATTCTTTCGCTTTCTCTTCCCCTAATTTATCTAAATTATTAATTTAAAAATAATATTTATAAAGTTATATTTTTGCATTTTATTTATATTATATATTAAAAATTGATGCAATAAAAATTATTTTTGAAATTTATGGGTGTCATAATTATCATTTTTTCAAAGGGGGGGATACTTTTCATGGGGGTATTCTGCTTCATTCGCTCAAAAAGTGTATGGGCCACTGAATGGATCAAGATATAAGGTATTAGATTTATCAGAAGAGTATTTCCAAATAACTCTAAATGAGGAGGCGAAAAAGATGTGTCGTTTCAAGCGACTTCCGTTCGAGGTAGCTTCAGCGCCAGCATTCAAGCAAAGGATTTGTTTTTAAAAGACTACCAGGTGTAGATGTATATTTAGACGATATAATTAATATTGGGGAGTCAGTCGAGATTCATAGAAGAAACCTGATAAATCTATTAAAAACGTTAGAAATAAACGGTATCAAGTTAAATTTAATAAAATGTAATTTTCTCAAAGAAAAAGAATTCCTATGTCATACATTAGCAAAGAGAGAATCATAAGAACAAATAAGAATGGCAATGCAACTCCATATGCACCATTACCAAAAAAACGTCAAAGAATTACAAACTTTTATAATTATAATCGATATAAAGAATTTTTTCACTCTCTATGCTTGCTCGTTTCCCTATTGACTGTAAATCATTTGCTTGGGAAGAATTAGATATTAATTCGATAGTAGCGGATGCTCCACAATTAATCTCAGCGTTAGATATAAAATCACACACAAAAAATGACGCAGTACTATCGATTTTGCAAACATTTAAAATTTATATAGTAGCCCCTTACCATCCATGATCAAATGGAGAGGCGGTGGGCTTAGTACTAACTTTTAAGAGTTTATTTTAAAAAACATAACAGTTATTAATAGAAAAATAATTTGTTTTTTAATTATCGAAATATTCCACAAATAAACACAAAACAATCCTCAAGTTCAATTATGCTTTAGTTTCAATACAATCTACAGTTAGTAAAACCAATTTATCCTCATCCATACACACCCCAATTACCAATTTTTAAAAAAATATAAATGGAAAATACATATAAAAGATTTTAAAAAGATAATTGGGTTCCAGGTATGATTGTTAAAAGAACAGGACCAAATAGCTGAAACAAAATTAGGTTTATGAGGAGGTCATAATAACCAATTGAAACATAGGTACGACAATTCCGGTTTTAATAAGCAAGAAGGAGAAATAGAAAAGATGCAAATAGAAATAGAAAAGATGCAAACTATACCACCAATAGACTCTAAAATTGATGAAATTATTAAGATAAACCTCAATAGTAAGACACATCAGAAAACACGATAAATGAAAAAAGAGAAGATATTACGAATCGACCTGCTATAGAAAACGAAAGTACAATTAGTTCACCGCCCATAATAGAAAGGCGTATCCAAAACAGATAAGAAAACAATTTATTCTGTTTCAGATCGAAATAAAAAGGAGAGTAAATATGTAATAGAATGGAAAAGTAAATGTAAATAGTAATTTATATAGATTAAATTAACCCGTAAATTAATTAGTTGTTTATTATTTATATTATATACGTGATTGATAATCAAAATCATAAATAGTTCAATTTAGATCAATATCACTTCCCCTAAACTAATGGATGAACAAAGTTATTTGTGCTGGACTCAAATCCCTTTATTCATATTTATAAGAATTATTCTCACTTTTTCAAATTCATTTAAGAATAGTATAATTCTTTCAAAGCATTATATTAAAAATGATAAAAATGGTTGATATATCCAACCAATCAAAGGAGCCTAGTGGAGCCATCGTGGTCTAGCCACTTCCAAAAAAAAATATTTTTTTTGATGAATTATCGATATCGATAAATATGTAAGGAGTCCCTATAAATTTTTTCAGAATAAATATAAACATTATGTGATAACGGGTTAAATAAAGAGAGAAATAAATATGAAATTCTAATCAAGCTAATCTTTTTCTGAAGATAATTTTTTACCTGGATTCCATTCTGGCATATGTCTTCCATATCTATTATATATATTGTAAAATTAGTAATTTATTATGCCTAAATTTTAAACTAGATTGTTGTTAAATTGCTTTCAACTTTTCCTTTCTTCCGTACTAGTCTTTGCAGCTCAATTATTAAGACCTTAAGCTTATGAATGAACTAAGAAATACGGTTTTCACCTTCCAAATTTTAAATTAATCCCTCCAAAAAATAATGTTATGAAATTAAATCCACCTTATTATTTAAAAAAAATAATTTTGATCTACCCCGTTCAGAGTTTTAAAAAATCACGAAAATCAAATTGAATATAGAGACAGACTTGTAAGCGCCGATCTGCGTCGACATAATGGGGAGACTCGGCAATAGGGTGTGCGATGAAGCATGCTTCATTGAATTAGGGATCGTTATCTGCCTTTTCTTACTCTTGTCACTCAGGAATGAAGGTATGGTACGGAGAGGTTTAGCATTAAAAGACGGTCTTGAAGTTTTTTTAAATTTATTTTATTTATTTGTATAAATTATATCATCCTTCATTCCAATGGCGTTATCAATATCAAATTATAAAGCTTTGACCATAAGGAATACTTTCCCTCCTAAACATAATGACAACAATTAAACGTAAACAATGTAATTATTTTGAGCAAACTTAAAAATCGGAAGGTCCAAAATAAACTAAATAAATAGGAATATCGTGTTAATGCGTTAAGTATTATTTAATCGATTTTCGTAATAATTAGAAGTATATTATATAAAGCGGTGTTTTTTTGTATATATCAAAAAAAAAGAATATCATAATAGATATTATGAGTGATAAAGGTCATCAATGATTACCGCAATACTTAAATAAATAATTTTAAGATCTCGGACTTAGATGATTCTCATAAATGAAAATAAATTTTGAATCAAATAATAGAATATACCTAATTAAAAAATGAATAAACTCAGACACCATTTTTTAAAGAAAAACCTTTTGATGTTGTAATCATTTGCTGAATCAACGGCTAGCGATGAGGCCCATTTTTTCATAGGTGACGCCGGAATATCAGATTTCCTGCGATTTATTGCATAATCAATCTTTTTTTCATTCTGAGAATGGAATTTATGGCTTGGATTAGATCCGGTAGAATTTTTCTTCCTTAAACCATTTTGATTACTTTGATCGCCGTTAACTATGTTATTGCGCTTGCATGAAGGGGGTAGGGGAGTCATAAAAAATATATTTTGCATACTTCAAGGTATATTAATTATATTATATAAATGTTGTAGGTATTATTGTTAAACGCCTCGATTTAAGATGATTTGTAAAAACGGCTAACTCAATATTTTAGCCAAAATATTGCCTAAGTCTAGAGATTTCGCTAATAGATGTACAAATCATTGTCCCACTTATAAGCAAAATCTTTAGGCCTGCGTAATATTTTTCTGGATAAAATATTAAGTTAGCCAGTGGAGTAGCTAGGAATTTTCCTTAGAGGAGGGTCCATATATATATAAACCTGGGGGCTTCGCCCCCTAGGCCCCCTTTAACGGGCCTTGGGCCCTTTTGCCAGGCCTTCGGCCGGTATCTTAAAATCATATTTGTTTTTCTTATAATATAGAAGTCCTAGAATTATATATAATAAATATATTTTTTAAATGCAACAATAATATATTATTATAATTTAGTAGATTATTCTCAATGACTTTATAATAATACTATCCAGAATAATTTCAATAGTAATATAATATCCTTCCACAAACATCAAAAGCAGAAAAATATAAATATTCATGGTATTTATTTGATATAAAGTCACCTTTGAGTCTTTTGAACGTATAATCTAAAAAAAAATTTTCTCTGGGAGGGGGGTCCAGGTCCAAACCGGAACCCTCCCTCCACCGTTACGCCACTGAAGTTAGCCATTTTTGAAAATTGGCAATAGAGTCGTTTTAGGAGTTCAGTGTGATTCGGTATTACACATGAAGGAATCTTAAAATTTTAATTAATTTATCTATCTCCATTTTTGATATTTTTATGGACTTAAATATGCTGGGATGATATTCCATTATGTGTATAGTACATACCTGTGAATTTCAGAATTTTGCCGTAAAAGTAGAAGGAATTCAAATAATATATTTACATTAATTAAGATTTTTTAAATAATTATTTTTTAATTTGAATTAATGTGAGCGTTAAAAATAAATTGTGGCATATATCAATTAGGCGGAGTAGCATGTCGTTTGGCAGGCAATCCATGGGGATTTGGAATCTCTCCATTTTATGTCACTTGTTAAGAGCGATTTTTAAAATAGCTCATTTGACGGGAAATGTATTCCAGCATGAATAAAGTACCTACCGTATAAATTTCAGATAATTATGCTATGAACTGTTGTGTACTTTTCAATTTATATAAGAAATTTATATATGAAAGTTCAAAGCGAAATTTATAAGGTAGATACTCCGCATGCTGAAATACTTTTCCGGTCGATCAGACTTTTAAATTTAAAAATCACCCTCAATAAATAATATATACATGAGAGGTCCCGAATCCCCAAGGATTCTATATCACAATATGATATGCATAAAAATATTTTAATTTAATAAATTTTATTATATTAGCAACTGATTTATATCATATAATTTTTTTTGTAAAATGAGTTAATTTTTTTAAAACAGAGATAAATTATGATGCAAATCGAACGATAAATTTTTTTTAAAATATTAACAATGACATTATTTACTTAATTTTGCTTTATCTAATAGAGTACAGAAACCTGCAGGCCCGTCTCTAGCCCGGGTACAAGGTCCAAGCCTAAAAAAATTTTTTAATAACTGGGCCGGGATAAAAAAAAATTTTTAAATACCCAAGCCGGGCATAAATTTTCAGGCTTGGCCGAATATTTTAAATTTATTATTTATAAAAATAAATAAAATAAATTTTAAAATTGTGTACCATAGAATTATATACATCCATTCACTTATCATATTTCCTAATTCTATTTTTTCGATCCTTAGAAAATATTTATAGTACAATACTATTTAAATTAATTATTCAACTAATCATTATTTTAGGTAATATTCAATCAAATTAAAAGCAACAAAGATCACTCAATATTTAAATATAATAAACATTTTAAGGGAAAATTCACTATCACTTTTTTTTTCTATTTCAAATTCAGGCAATTACATATCCAGGGTGAGAGCGCAAAAAAAGACTAAATTAACTTACAAAAGGAAGAAAAAATAAAAGAATTACCATTGATCAGTCGAATTGAAAGTGGGCACTCCAAAATTCAAGCGACAATTATATTTTGCGAATTATTTAATGATTGGTGTTAATGAAAGAAAGATTTTATTTATTTTATAACGTTGGCATTGGGTGCTATTCGCGAATTTTGTCTAATTAATGGTTTTAAAATTTCAAATGAAGTTCTTTAAAATATATGATATATATTTTATCGGCAATATGTTATTTTATCAACTTTAAATCCTTTTTTGAGTTTTTTAAATCTAAAAATCTTATTTTCCCGTAAATATATTCTAGAATGTTTAGAATACTTATATGAATTGTAGACTTAAAATTTATATAAAAGTCTATGGGAAAAAAACTATATTAATTATATTAAGTTTAAAAGTTCATGGTAAAATTGTCTGAAATTCATAGGGTTGATTTCCAAACATGATAAAATAATTTCGCAGATTATAAATTTAATAAACGCCTGAAAAAAATGATATAAAGTTTAAAAAATAACACTGCTGGTAACATATATATATTTTATAGCTTTCACCTTTCTAGTGGTAATATCCTTCAATATCTCTCCACTTTATCTTATTCATACTTAGACCTGTGTGACGCCGGCATTTTTATTCATGCCGGAAAAGCCGCCGATTGAGATCATCGGCGCGAGCCGGCTCGCCGCCGATTTTTATTATGGCGGCGGCGCGGCGTGTGTAATTTTTAGAAAGCATATTAATTATATTTATATTATTATTATTTTAATTTGAATACTAACATTAATAAAATTAAAATATGAATTGTAATCTTTTGCTATATATAATAGATGAGTGTATATCATTTACATTCATTCATAATCATATTTTATTTCCACAAACAATTCATATTAATTATTTTTATGGACTTGCACGTTTTAAACCACCCTACAGTGGCGTAGCCAGGATTTATCCATAGGGGGGGGGTGTAAAATTTTTTTGGGGGGCGAAGTCCCCAAACTCTACTTTTAAATATTGGCAATATTATGTGCTTTATTAGTGTCTAATCACTATAGTAACAAGCATGAATAAAAAAAATATTAGTAACAATTTTGGCTAAATTTATGATTAATAAGCGACTAATTTAATCTATGTTTAGACAATTGTAAATTAATCCATATAGTTTAGAAAGAAAAAAATTTGCTCCCCGTTAAGATCACTCAATATACCTGATTGAGTGTTAAAAATAATTCTTTTTTAAATTTTAGATATAGATTTTATTTATTATTAAAATACTTTAGTATAAATAAAATCTCTTTATTTAACTATGCATTTATTTTAATGATAATATACAATAAAATAAATTTCAAAATGTAGAAATTTTATGTAAATTATTATATTAAAAATTTATTGTAATAAAATATAAGTAATTCTTGTACGGTATTTTAAAAAATATAATTTAACAATTATAATTAATACAAAATAATCTATAAATATTTCTTATTGCAAAAGCAATACTTTTATTAAAAATACATAAATATTATGACTAAGAATTCATTATAATTAAGTTTTGCATATAAAAATTTTATGACTAAGAAAATATGATAATCATAGATTTGAATTTATAAAGAGAGGTCTACTTTTATCTGAGATTTGGCTAATTCATCTAGAATCAAATTATTATCTAGAATAATCTCCTTATAAATATTTAAAAGGGCTAATCCATTTAAACGGTTTTCACCGGTGCTATTTCTTAAATAGGTTTTTTAACCTTTTCAAAGTTGAAAAAGACCTTTCATTGGTGCAGGTACTAATCGGTAAAGTAGCTAAAATAAAAAGTAATGTATTGATATTTGGCAGGGAATCTAAAGTGCAATTACACATGGAAAGAGCCTGCAAAGCATTTTTAGGTCTCAAAGAGTAGGGGAGACTGGGGTTAGGTAAACCGTGGGGCTTGGCAAACCATTTAATATTATTTTAAAATTATAAACACTAGAAGGTTAAAATTTTATCCTAATATAGATTTTATTAGTTTACATCTATAGACAAAATATCTTTTGAAATGATTAATTATTAAAAATTTTATTTAAGAAATAAAATTTTGATAAAATTTTCTAAAGATTTTTACATGACAGAATTTTAATTTCTATTAAAATATATATTCATTTATATATAAATTAAATTTTATAGCAAAGTTTAAACACTCTTCTATAATTTGGGAAAGTTTTATGTATATTTATTATGTCTATATAGTATTTCAATCATGATTAGTAAATTTAGAGCTAGCGGGGCTTGCTAAACCATACATGTCAATCCATTTCAATAATTTTTTTTAGCAATTATTACATTATTCGATATGGTGCGAAAATATAAATCCAAAAAAATTAATATAGGAGAATCATTTAATATTGATAATTATTTAGAAGTATATAAAAATTTAATGAATTAATAATATAATTGTAATTAGGCTATTAGGGTATATGAAAATTGTAAATCAACAAGGAATACTAGCCAACTTACAGGTAAATTTATCTACATTATCTGTCTTATTTTTAAGATATAATCACAATAATTTTATGTAATTTTTAAACAATATAATCAATTTTTAGCAATATTTAATAATAGAAATTATGTAAATATTTTTATTAAATATAATTTATAAATGATCTTATATTCTAGATTGATTACAATTTAGATGAAGTATAGTATTATTGTATTAATTTTATGTAATTCTTAAACATTAAAATCAAATTTTAGCAATATTTAATAATAGAGAATATGCTAATAAAATCTAAATGGTAATGGTAAAGAGATTATCATTTTTAAATTTTATGTTCTTAAATGTTAAACTTATAATTAAATAATTATATATTTTACTTGACATTTTTATTTTAGGTATTCCTAGATCAAACTTTATGAGATATTATAAGATATCAAGAAAGTGGCATACTTACTAGTGTAGGGCAAAATAATAAAAAGAGGATATTCACAGAAG